GGGGGGGGGGGGGTTCGGCAGCGTACACCAGCTGGGCGTACGGCGGCAACAGCCGGAGCCCAATTTATCACGAAAAAAATCCCTAACAACGTCCTGTGCGCTTCATTAAGCATCCACCTATCGTGGACCCATTTTAAAGGAAAACGCTAATTCCGTTTTGTAGGTCTCCATTCAGCTAACCCGCCCTGGTCATGTCAATCGACACGTGATCTGGTCGGCTCTGTCCCCCCCCAAAAAACAACAGAGACACGTCGGACAACGACAAAGAAAGCGCGCGCGTGGACGGGATGGGCCATTAGTTGTTGAAGCACTCCATTTTGTTGGCATAGATACTTTTGGTCAGTGGTAGCTTCAGGCACAAAGTCAAAGACATGGTACGCCAACTACTGTGGTGGGAGGTTATATCCAGCGTGGGCAGTAGGACAGCTGACAGCTGACAGCTGCCATCACCCACGCTCTTCTTCGGAGAATGTATGCTTCACAGTCTGCATGACCGGACACATGTCGGCGTCGGACCAATATGTACACCCTTCCCAGTCGTCATTGTTGTACCCTCGTTTCCGATATTGATGGATATATTATCTCGTCGCCGTGTCCGAAATTACGACGCTCATCCATTGACAACAACAACACCCACCGATCCGCTGTGCGAACGGCATCCTCCCGGCACGTGCCCGTCTGTATCTGTGTGCACGTGCCTGCCTGCCAGTCTCGCGACAGCTGCCATGTAAAACAACAAGGAGGACGACCATGCCACGATACACACGAAAACTTCACACCCCAGAGCGTACCAACTCCGTTCTCGCCCGGCCTCCACCAGCAGCTACTGGTACACAAAAAAATGCAAGACCCTGCCGTTCTCCGCTCGATGATTCCGTTCATCTTACCTCCACGACCGCCAGGGCAAGCGTTGGATTGAGTATAGACTAGGAGATTGTTGTCCGCCGTTGCTTACCGCGTTGTTCATGACAAATCCGTCGTCGTTACACATCGACTCGCAGAATGACACCGGGCACCAGAGAACGAGAACCAGAGGATTAGAACGGTTGCTTACGGGGCAAGCTGTGTTTGCCAATCTCTTACCTCCACACCCGCCAGGGCAAGCGTCCGCTCCAACACCTGCCCCACGAAGGGCCGTTTCAACGGGTCCTGCTGGAGAGCGAACATCACCAGCTCTCGGAAACCCCGGGACGCCGCCTTCCCCCCCCCCCCCCCCCCCCCCCCCCCCCCCCCCCCCCCCCCCGCCCCCCCCCCCC